TAAATGATAAGAATGTTATATATACATGTAACTTGTATGTAACCTGTCTCCAGTGTACTTACAGTTTCATAGTGACGTAACATGGTGATAGCTTTTTCGTCATCTTTGAAGAAATCTCCATACGTAGCATGACTTAGAGCTTTCAACACCAACAGCGACATGTGTTCAGTTATATTAATGTGTTCATCCGACGACAGAGACTCAATCTTCGCAACAACTGCATCAGTAGCCTGTCAATAGCACATAATATGCATTACAGTGACTACCACATGAGAATAACAAGTCACAAGTTTATTTTGATAGGGAGGACAAAGCAGTTAAATGTTTGTTTAGTTTCAAATAGTTGGAAGCTCATTCAACCATAAATGCCTGATATGAATAACCGGGTGATGATCGTTATTATTTCCCAATTTTAACTTTTTGTAATAGTCTTATTGTGGAAGCCCAAATGAACAACATCGATAGTAGATGTCATTTGACTCTTGCAAACTCCAATAGTCATTAAGAGAAGGCTTTATATACAGTAATGTTTGAATTTCGACACTTCGGCACAAATAGAATAATTAATGTATACGAGGCCTTCTCTGATTAGTTGACTAAACGGATTATTTGAAATCTCACGAACGAGATCCCCATGGAGGTTGTTCAGATCTTTGGGCGTTCACAGATAGAAAAAAATAACACATGGAATAATAAAGAAAATAAATTAAAACAATAAAATATGTTAAACAATTAAAAGAATAAAAAGTAAGAATACACGCGCAATAAGACATCCTAAGAATCAGATTGTCTTTGCTCATTTATGTATGTGTCTTACTGGCTAATCGTTTTAATTCACTATTACAGGTGCTTCGAAATAAACATTCCATGTGATATTCGGTTACTGCGTTTAAGTTTTACTTCTAAAATCTCAATTCAACAAGTAAAAACACTAGACAAAACCAAATTCACGAATTGTATATAATATACACTATTTTCTACTTTCCTTTTCACCAAGGGAACACACATATGCTTAGAAGTAAAAATTCTCGTGAATATCACGAGACGTTTGGAATGGTTTCGTCCATATTCAAATTGTCTGTTCACCCCTGTTCGCACATTGCAGATTGTGATTTGCGCATGAGGACGACGTTTCTCTGACATTTACAACATTCCATCTTTGTATTATAATATAGTGATCTTTGCCAAGCCACCACAAAGTTACAAATGTAGACAATATTGGCAACTAATTTGCAGACAACGCAAAACTTGAGTGCAGTGAAAACTGCTGAAAATCAAACACGGAAAGTAGACAAATAATTTTCGAATGGGATATATATATTTTGCCAAAGCGTTGTGTGAAATATGAGTATGTTGAATCATACAAGTATTCGATGCTTGAATTATTATATGAATACAAGCATACAGTTTAATTTGGAATTCAAACACGCCTGTCAATACAATGAGATTTTCGATATGCAAATGTATTTAACTTTTCAGCATTAAAGTCAACGTCACGAAAATTGTACTGTTGCATCCCCTGTAATAACACAAAATATTTTTCACCTCATAAAACTTGCTGTAGTAGTTCTTGATTGCATCATAACTGAATGATTGGTCGTAGTCATGGCGACGGCGTTTGCCATCTTCCTCATTTGCATACTGTATACTGTCGGGTCCAATTAGGGGTTTGACAAAATTGAACAACACAGCTGTGTAAATAAATTGTTTATATGAATGCTACAACAACAAAATGACAATATTACATTCGCAGTAGGAATTTAACTTGAAAATTACACGTTCAATTGTGGAATGTAACGGTGCAATAAACCTTTGAACGAGTAAACATGGTGACTGTGTCGGACATGATCAGTACAGGAGATATACCATGAGTCAATGATTAAAACACTCCTTAACACATATTTACCTGGCCTATCAAACAGTTTATTGGTATCTTTGAACGCTTTTGCAGACGCCAGACTAATAACATGCGTTTTTCCATACCAAAATGTTGCTACGTGACCATATTTGGTATGGAGTTTTACCAGGAACTCGTGGAGACTACCAGCAACTGTGATATCCGGCATGTTACCGTCTCTGAAAAGTAACAGAACGAACGTGTAATGTAGTTATCAATTATTCCAGGTCATAATCAGATGTCAACAAACCTAAACAACATTCACATACTAGAACCAACAACCCTAGACTGGCACAATCAAGCGATTATTAATTTGTTTTTGTAGTTTAAAATGACACAGTCCCCGTACAATTTTTGAAAGTTCCTCTTTGTGCTCGTCATATTAAAGCGGAGGGGTTGTCGCGAGCGTGTCCTTGATACTTGAGTTGCAAGTGGCGTATACAACAGATTGTTTATTTACATCAAAACACAAGTTCCTTGTAGTAGTAATATGGCCAAAAATAAAAACAGCCGTTATTTGGCCATCTTTGATCTGATTGTGAAACACACTGATATGTATGATGTATGTGTACATAAATTGTGGAAGTATAACAGTAAGGCCAAAAAGTCAAATGGCTGTCAATCGCCATCCTTGACCAGATTTTGAAACAAATTGTCATGGACATGCATCCTAACATATATAAAGTACATGTATGTGCCAAATTTGAATGAAAACTGACAGAGCACGTCCAAGATACCGCAAAAAAACAACAAGA